ATTATTGAGAATATGTACTCCAATGTCAAATGTAATGTTATTTTTAATGGCATGAATTGAATCAGATGTATTTGATATAAATGAATTAGTAAAACAAGGATGTCCACTTTCACCTCTCTTATTTTCTATATATGAATGAATTTACCAAAATTATTGCAGAAAAAAAATTAGGTATTTCTATTTTTAATACACAAATTGGAAATTTATTTTGGGCAGATGACGTTGTTTTGATAGGTGATAGGTACATGTAACTGGTACTGTTGATAAAAGCTTTTCTATTTTAAAATTTATATATTTTAGCAGAATGTAGACATTTGTTTAAAAGTATCAAGTTGCTAATTAACGTTGACGTTGTTTTGATAGGTGAAGATGCACGTGATCTTGAAGAACTCTTAGAAGCAGCTAGCAAATTTTTGAATCTTTGGAAACTTAATTTAAATCTAGAAAAATCAAACGTTTTAATTGTTGGCCAATGAGTAAACCAACTTAAAAAATGGAAGCTATGACAATTTTATAAATGAAACAAAAATATAAGTATCTAGGAACTACCATCTCCAGAAAAAACAATGATAATGATCACATTGAAGACATTATCAAAAAGGGTAACAAAATAGTAAAATATATTAGGTCAATTATTGATGGTCAAGTTGACTTCAATAGAGTTTATTATGGTGATTTGCTATGGAAGACAATAGGACTTCCTTCAATTAACTATGCATGCTGTGTTTAGATTCCAGGTAATAAAAAAATCAATTAATAAATTAGAAATCCTACAATATTAGATGGCCTAGGCAATTTTAAAAGCACCCAGAAAATTAGCCAATGAAGCATTACTTGGTGATTTGGGATGGGATTCCATTGTAATACATATACAGAACATATATAGAATAAAATATTTTAATAGGCTTAAGACAATAGAGGATGATAGATGGCCTAGGTTGTTGTGTGAAGCACTTATGGAGGTTACAACTACTACAAGATGGAAGTGGATTGACAATGTAAAAACAATTCTAGATAAATATGATTTAAATGAAAAATTTAACCTGGAACCACATAACTACATATGGTTAAATTCTTGTAATGAAAAGATCTTAGATGATAATGATAAAGAATGGCTTAAAAATGCATATAAAAAAAATCATTAACTGATTTTTTAAAGTGCAGAAATACACCTATTATGGAATACTATCTTATGGATAAAGTAAATTTCCAAGGTATAAATCCAAAATTCAATGCAAGAATCAATACTTTGGACCTTGAAGGCCGAAAATGGTCATGGTCAGATAATTATTCTGGCTATTGTGTTATCTCCTTTTTGATTGTGAATGTTTATCCACCATAAGAAATATATGCTTTAGCAACCTAAAAAATGATTTGTGTAATATTAATGAATAATTTTGGGATATTTTTGTAAAAGGTTCACAGGAATTTAAACATCATCTACTTCTAAAACAATATTTATAATATGTATAAAGATGAAGAAATTTGTATGATTTTTGATAAACATTGTAAATCCTCTTTATCCAAGGCCATTGCTCATAGACATAAATTAATGAAAGAAATTTCCACACCCATTTAATTTTTAATTTATTTTTAATTCTTTTCTATATCTTGACTTAATGTAAACAGTGTTTTACACTCAGTATTAATTTTGTATTTTGATTTATATTGTTTTTATATTGTATTATTTGGGTCGAACCTCTCCTACGGGAGAGTCTTTCTCCGTTTTAAAAGAGAGAATAATAAATCGTATCGTATAACATTATTACATTACATCGTAAATCATGCTACACTTTTGCACAACCTCTAGCCAGAGGAATCTGTTGTTAGGGAAATTCATTACATACCATAGAAGACCAATGGGCTTTACCTCAAGAAGAAGCCCATCTCTAAAAGAAGCCCCAGTCTTTAGTTTTCAAAAGTAATCTCAAAAAGTAACCCCTCTTGCGAAAAGAAGCCAAACAGAAGAATAGTATTTCAAATTTAAATTCAGATTTAATGAATGTGATTAATCAATAGATATTTATATGTTTTGCATATTAACTGATTTTTGAGGGTAGTCAGAAAAAAAGAAATTGTATTTATAATCTGAAATTCTGTTTATAGAAAGAAAACATGTGAATGGGTAAAGGAATGTCGAAGAAACAGTTAAACATACAATTAAAAAACACTGAAATATCAGGTACAGTAATTAGACTATTATACCATGTGATATGCAGAATGACATTATTCTTTGATTTGGATAGCGTGGAATGGAATATTACTTAAACTCACAGTCAATATGGACACTTGAAGTGTCACTATACTTGTTTCCTGCATCATTGGTTGCATGACAAACATATTCACCAGTATCATTCCTTGTTGCATTGGTGATGGTATATTTTAAAATAGTGCCATTCGTAGAATTTATCTGTTGTCGACCCTTATAAAGAGTAAGCTTAGGATAAGGAAAAGCAGCAACGAAACAGAAAATCTCCAACAAATTACCCTCCACAATGTTTTTAGTTGAGTTGATTGCTGGTGTGTCCAGATCTAAAATGAAAATAACGATACAAGAAATCTATTAGTAATATTTAATCCATAATATGGACACTGAATTAATTTTAGTATTATTACTATAAAAGGCAAAAGATTTATTAATCATTTAAAATATTAATTAAAATTAAAAGCTAAACATAAATCAATATGGCTCTGTAATTATTTTTTTTAAAGTAAATAATCTCATCTGAATATTGGATTAAATATCAGGGTTATTTTGGTTGCAGTCTTGACAGCCTGGTGTCTGATGTTTTCCATGCCTTACTTTCTGGAATTTAAGATTTTTTTTCCCATTTAATTTTTTTAGACACGAGCGCCAAGGCTATTTCAATCAGCAAACTTGATCACCACCCTACGTGGAATATCTATCAAACAGGTGACTGAATGGACCAGTACAACGGAGTAGCCTCCTACTCTTCTCCAAGGATGTACTGGGTTCTTTAAAATGCACACAAACCAAATGCGTACACTAGGCCTACGGCTTAAAGTCCTTATCCGAGAAGACTTGTTCCACCATTGGAGCCATTGTCGAGTGTGCTGTTCAAACCAGCACCGATATTATACAGTAGCTGAAGGTTACGGTGAACCACTTGGCAAATCAACTTGCCACGTTGAAACTTAGATAAAGCAATGTAAAGAAAAGAAATAGAAAACATAGAAAAATAAAAGAAAGGGAATGAATAGTACTGTATAAAAAAACAAAATACTGTATAGGATATTGAAATTAGTGGTAGGCTACTATATTGTATGGGCAAAAAAGGGGCAATTGAAATGGATCTCAAAATTAAATACTCACAAAAATGGCGTAAATAAAGATTTAGGATTTCTCACAGATTACACTTTTTATCAATGCATTCCTCCATCTAGATACATTTTATTCATTCTTTTATATACTATTTAACTTGTTATATTTCATTTTCATTGGCTCAGGCTAGTGAGATCATAGGCCTACATTCGGCTGATTACCTCTTTTTAATCATACGTGTTATCGCCGAGGAAGAGCACAGGCGTGCCCGAAATATTCGAAATAAAAAATTATCTTATGTCTATTATGTCAACGTATACGACTCTACTTTGTGCATTCCTACTCATTTTATATATATATGTATATATATATATTGATGTATATATGTGTATATATATATATGTATGCATATATATATATATATATATATATACTCCAATATATATATATATATATATATATATATATACATATACTGTACACACAAATAAACCTGGGGAGGAAAAGGTGGGTATACTATTAAAGGGGGGAAAGATGTCAGGTTGAAGATGTCACTGGAAGCAGTTGTTTTGATCCTACATGTAGGCAGTTCGGGATATTGGCCGCTTGATGCTGGCTATGGGAGTGACAGCATCCGTCTTTAGACAGGACTGCTTGCTCTACATGGAGAATGGCCTAGAAACGGAGACCTTACTAAAGCTCTTTTCCATTCCTTCCAGTTGCTGACATTACAAAACATTGAAGGCAGTATGTATCTCTACATACCAGATTCATCTCTTCATACCAGATTCTAAGTCCTTTGTACAGTGCTGACGGCAAGACGCTCTTCACGGACAAGACATCCATTCTGAAGCTGTTGGTCATGAAGACCATGACTGAATTGTAGGGCAAATTTGTCAAGAAACCTGACGATATTTATGTAAAGGTAAGGCTTATTTCATTCCTTCATATTACCTTGATATTTTTATACCATAGTGTCTGAAAACGTTTAAATTAAAAGCTTGAACAACTATATTTTTTTTACCTGAAATAAAGTTTTAAATACACAATAGTTTCCTTGGGGGTCTGCTGATTATTAAACATGTGATTAGATCGTAACGTATGTTTCATAATATTGTAACGTATGTTACAATTTTTACATCCCTATGTTCTTTTGGCCTAGTATATTATTTTGAGATAATTAGCCATTGTACGTATGCACGATATATTTCTTATACATACACAGATTATATGTTATCACAAATGTTTTGTGATTAAGATTGTTTTAATGGAGACACTATATTTACCATGTACGACCTAATGGTAACGTAGGTTTCTTTACTCCTTTTTAATTAAAAAACTTCCTAAAAAATAAGATGTTAACAATGTGACAATTGTTTGTTTTTAAATCAACGACATGCAGGGGCATACCGTGGGGGGGGGGGGGCGACCTTTTAAAGAAAGTGCCCTTTAAATATGATTTTTAAAAAAAATCTAGCATAATTAAACTGCGCCTAACATGAAGGTTGTTAATATCAAAATAAATTATCCTTCACCTAAAAAATGTTTGGTGGCCCTTCCTTTTTATATTTTGATATTTTGTCTAGCTTTAAACAATCCATATAAAGTTATACATTTTTAATCAACTTGATATCTTGAAGCCCACGCGCCAGTAGAGTTGTGTTATGTGGTGTATTGGTTACGCATCATTGCACTCTGCCATTATTGTTTAATACAGACTACTTCATCCGCTTGTTGGTATTACACAGAGCCTGCAAGGCAGATCAATTGATGTTGTAAAGGCTTACTATGAAGTGAAAGATTGTATGAAAGACATGCAACATTTGAGGGAAAATACAATTTCATACAATTTACCAGCAATCCGCAAGGTTGGTAACAAAGCTTAGAGTGGATCCTGTGGATTCAAAGCAAATGCATCGTAACAACGTTCCTGCTGAAAATCCAGAGCAATATTACCGACGAGCATTAGCACTACCATTAATCGATAGATTCATATCAGAAATGACATTCGGTTTTAATTCTTTTAATAATCGAGCGTCAAAACTCCTACTTGTACCATCAATTATTTGCCATCCAGATTACAAAAATTTAGATATTGCTGATTTAATAGAGCAGTATTCGGAAGACTTGCCCAACCCTGACATCATTGATTTGGAGTTACAACTGTGGAAAAGAAAGTGGTTGGAAGTAACAGCAGAAAATCGTCCATCTAGTCTGGCAAAGGCCATTAAAGTCTGCGACAAGTTTCCAAATATTTTTATTTTAATCAAGACCCTCCAATGAGCTCAGAGTGAACGGACGCATACACAGTGGCTCCCAGCAAAATAGCAATTGTACATTCTGCAGGGAAATTTAACGTATACACTGTTACTACCAGAAGATTGTGTGACACTATAAATAAAAATAAGGATGAGTAAGACTGGAGGACGTAAGACGAAAAATAGTTGTAAGCTTACTGGAGCTAGGCCTACTATACCAGCAACGCAGTCCCTGCATACTTCACCGCCAACAATGAGTATACTTACCACACCAGAGGACAATACTTCGTCCAATAGCCATTCAACTTTAGAAATTCCGGCCTTTGCAGTACTACTAAAGACGTGCAGCTACGAGTGCAAACTGCCATTTCGGAGTTTCAATGCAAAGTGAACGCTATGTTAAATACCATTTTTACTCAAATGAAAAAGCTAGAGGAGGACTTAAATCAATCCATTGAGTTCCTAAGCTCAAAAATGGATCAACTTACCTCTAAAATCACACCACTGGTCAAGGAAAATGCAGTACTAACAGAGACTGTTAAACAACAAAAAGAACATGCTTCTCTACACGATGAATTGATCAACAAACAGGAAAGATTCTCACGTAGAAATAACATGAGGATTGTTGGTGTTGAGGCTACTGCAGGTGAAAAATGCGTAGACCAAGGAATTGCTTTCGATTCATTTTAAATTGCCCGATATAAAAATCGAACGGGCACACCGAGATGGCCGTGGGAAAGCAGGGAGATCGCCTCATTTGTTGGTTAAACTTTTGTCTTACCAAGATAAAGTGGATATCCTGAAACAGTCGCGATCCGTCTGCAAAGACAAGGGGTTTTTTATCGTCGATGATTTAACCAAGACCGATTTAATAGAGAAGAGAAAATGGAGTAAACAAGTGATGGATCTCTACAGCCAAGGTACGAAGCTGAAGTTCTTTGCAGGAAAGTGGAGGAAAAATGGTCAGCCTTTTGATTTTCGCACTGAATAGTACAATTTAATGCTGCTGGCTGGGAGATCCTGATACCGTGTATTAGTTCATACTGTCATCTTCATTCTCTTTTCATATTATCTAGCCTGCAAATTATGTACTTAATTCTATTGCAACTCCATTTTAACGTGTAGTCATGCAACGACTGTGACAGTGTATCTTTAAGTAATGTCTGGGAGCCGCTACTGATGACTCCGTTTGAATTTCATTATTGATAAGTCTTGCTGTTTATTATTTTACCTATTTGCTCTTTTGTTACTTATTTTGCTTGTTATGGATCTTTATCAGTGACCTATTGTATCAATTATTACCTCAGTTTAAAGTTTGTGGGTGTTACGATAATTGTACATTTTACTATCTTGACCAAATGCACTTGGAAACAATCACAATTATTCATGTTTATAAACTTAATCATACATGACTGATCTTGTAGGATGGCAATCTCTCCCATACTGAAATTACCTTACTTATTAGCAACCCCATTTTATTAGTGAACTCGAGCAAATCATTAAATACCAAATTCAATCCTATTGAAAATGTCATCGATACTAAATATGATGATCAATTAGACCCAACACGAAATTATCTACAAGAGCATTCCAATACATTAGAAAACTGTAAATATATGGGTGAGGATGAATTTAATAATTTTTCTGAAAAAATACCAATGCATCTCAGGCACTCTCATTGTTCCATTTGAACATTAGAAGCCTTTCTAAACACATCGATGATCTAAAACACTATTTATCCACATTAAATCATACATTTTCTGTTATAGGAATTTCTGAGACCTGGCTTAACCCCACATCTGTGACTCCCCATATTAGTAATTACACAATTCACTCTAAAGATAGGCTTAATCAAAGTGCAGGTGGTATATGTCTATATGTACATAAGAACCTAAAATTCATCCCACGACCTAATCTCGCTCTTGATGTTAATGCTTGTTAATCCCTCTTTGTTGAAATCGTAAACGAAAATAAAAATGTAATCATAGGTATTATTTATAGAGCACCTGGCTTAAATGTACATCACTTTACATCTGCCCTTGAAGAAACTATAATAAAGATAAACAATGAAAATAAAAAGTGCTATATAATGGGTGATTATAACATTAACTTACTAATAATCATAATTGTCACAACCCCACTATGAATTTATTGAAAATATTATGTCAAACACTTTTTATCCATTGATATCTAAACCTACACGCATTTCGGATAACTCTGCCACTTTGATCAATAACATATTTACTAATGTATTTGATGATAATATTCTACAGGTATCAATCAGGTGTTTTAATAACTGACATATCTGATCATCTTCTGATATCCACATCAGTTGTCCTGTCAAATCAAATAAGAGCAATGACATATATTATAAAACTAAAAACTCTGAATGCTTTCAATGAAGCTTTAACTCTAATAGACTGGTCTGTGGTCTATCAAAAAAATGATCCAAATGATGCTTATAACTGCTTTTATAACATTTATAGAAGTGTACATGATAAACATATCAATAGAAATAATTTTCGTAATACCAAAAGATGTAAGCAACCCTAGATGAGCCCAGGCTTGGTAAAATCGAGCCAGTGGAAGCATGTGCTATATAAAAGGTATCTGAAGAACCCCAACATGAATAATAAAACAATTTATACTCGGTTTAAAAACAAATTTATTAACCTGTGCAGAATTGCCAAAAAACAGTTTTACATTAATAAATTTGAACAAACAAAAGGTAACATCAAGCAAACCTGGAATGTTATCAACTCTGTGATAAGGCCTCAAGGAACCCAACTTGCTATTCCAGATACCTTCTATCATAATAATACACGTGTTACTGGTAGTCAGAATATTGCTGACTTTTTCAATCATTATTTTGTAAACGCAAGTCCAGAGGTTGTAAAATCAATTACTCCGCCTACTGTTCAAATTGCGCCATCTGACTACTTGACTGGCAACCACTGCCACTCATTCTTTTTAACACCTGTTGTAGAATAAGATGTTCTTGATGTTATACGAAATCTAGATCCCAATAAATGTTCGGGTTTTGACAACATAACGTCAAAAGTGGTCAAAGGCTCTGCATTAGCCATTTTAAAACCACTGACTTATATTATCAATCAGTCGTTTATAAAAGGTATCGTACCTGATAACATGAAAATTGCTAAAGTATTGCCAATTTTCAAAAAAGGTAAACGTGATGATTTCACAAATTATCGACCCATATCTATCTTACCAATATTTTGTAAAATACTTGAAAAAATTATGTATTCCAAATTATACTATTTTTAGATAAATTCACTATCCTCAACGATCACCAATTTGGGTTTCGTGAAAACCATTCGACATCTGATGCCATTATGGATCTTATCGCCAACATTACGGCAAGATTTGAAAAAAAGAAATTCTTAATCAGTGTGTTTATGGACCTTTCTAAGGCCTTTGATGTTATTGATCATGATATTTTGCTTAAAAAGCTACATTACTATCGAATCAGAGGTATTGCTTTACATTGGTTCTCTAGTTACTTGAGTTGTAGGAAACAATATGTCATCGTTAACTCAAATGAATCAAATCTTTCAGGCATAACATGTGGCGTACCACAAGGGTCAGTATTAGGCCCTTTGCTGTTTCTAATTTATATTAACAACATTCATTTGGTTAGTAATGTACTTAAAACGGTGTCTTTCGCTGATGATACGACTGTTTTCCTATCAGGAGACAATCTTGATAAGTTGTTAACCATGTAAACCATGAACTAGTAAAGGTATCCAATTGGCTCAGCATTAACAAACTAAATTGTTAAATATTGCCAAAACTAACTATATAATTTTCCGTCCAACTCAGAAGAAATGCCCTGAAATTGACAATCCTCTTAAAATCAATGGTAAAGCAATAGCTCAACAGAAAGAAGTTCAATTCTTGGGTATAATTTTAAATGAACATATTAACTGGAAAATTCATATTGACTTCGTTGCAAGAAAAATTTCTAAATCAATAGGAGTAATTGGCAGAGTCAAACAGTTTTTCCCTACAAATATTTTACTCGCTCTTTACAATACCTTAATTTTGCCTTACCTCCAGTATGGTAATATTATATGGGGAAATGACTATCCCTCAAAACTTGTTAAACTATATAACCTCCAAAAACGAGTTATTCGTATTATTACATCATCACCATATAGGTGCAATGCTGAACCACTCTTTCATCAACATAATCTTTTGAATATTTATGACATTAATAAGGTACAAGTACAGTAGGGTGTTTTATGTATAAACACACCCATGAAATGTTACCAAATGTATTTAAGGATCTATTTCAGTACAAAGGTAATGTTCATAACTATCGGACAAGACAGTGTAATAGGCTTCGTATTCTGTTTATTAGGCTGACTAAAAGCCAATTCTCAATTTGTGTCCATGGTCCGCATGTATGGAACAATATTGATAGTAAACTAAAAACATCAAATACTCTTAAGACTTTTAGTAAACTCCTCAAAAAGGAAATCATCTCAAATTATCAAAATGTACGTATGGAACAACATTGATAGTAGTAAACTAAAAACACCAAATACTCACAAGACTTTTAGTAAACTCTGAAAGAAAGGATATCAATAGGTACTTTTATGATCTTT